TATATATATATATATATATATACTGCGATACGATGATTCTCAGAGATGTCTGCGAAAACAAATACATGTAGCTTTTATATAGTTCACATTGTATTCATGAAGAAAGAAGAAAGAGAGAAAGAAAGAAAGAAAGAAAGAAAGAAAGAAAGAAAGAAAGAAAGAAAGAAAGAAAGAAAGAAAGAAAGAACGAACGAAAGAAGGTATTGTAAAGAGACAAAGCATTGCAGAAGGTGGCACAGCCGGTGGAGGAAATCACACTGACTGCTGACACTGTGGAGGGGAGACCACTGACTGTTGGCACTGTGGAGAAAAGCACTGACTGCTGGCACCTTGGAGGGTAGGACACTGACAGCTGGCACGTAGGAGTAGGGGAGTATGATATGTTCCCGGTTCAGGTAAACACACTGGTGTTATTCTTGTGGAAAAGATACATTTTATCTGTATGGAAGGGATATGTCAGCTCTCAATTTATAAATGCTCCTTCCACCATTCCAACACACAGCCCAGAACCCGGGGGGAAGGAGGTATAGAATCCTGGGGGACACAGAGCACCCCATGTACACATAACCTGTCACCTCCTGACCTGCTGCTGCTGCCAGTGTTCACTACAACCGCAAGTGTCAGCCCACTTGTGTGTAACATGAAAGTTGGAGGTGCCCAGTTGGTATATGTCTTAGAGAAAAAGGTTCGCACAAACTCGTCATCATTATTATTATTAATATTCATCATGAAGATAGTTTTATGTTATGTATGAATACACATTCACCAAACATAAGTCCAGAGCATCAATGTATGTCAGAAATGTATGATACAGCAATGAGTGTGTCTGCCAGAAACCAGTGCTGGGGATATGATGGACACTAAATCCCGCTCCCAATGTGCTGGGCAATGCCAACTGATAGGAGCTCGCTTTAGATATGTCACCCCAGCGATCTGCCTGTCTAGTGTCTACAGCCGATTTTTATCGCACTGTGTGAATTGGTAAATAGTATCTACACTACACAGAAGATAGATTATACACAGAAAACACTTCCCTAGTCCCAGAAAATGGGTCAAATACCAAGGAGATAATACCAGATATAAGTGTGTCATCAGAATCTTGTTGTGTGTTTATCTATCTATCTATCTATCTATCTATCTATCTATCTATCTATCTATCTATCTATCTATCTATCATCTATCCACCCATCCATCTACCTAAGTATTATTATCTCTTTCTAGGAACTTGGTATGGATATTGTTGACCCTCTGGATGCCTTATTTGTGCCCATGACAGTGATTGGGGGGCTGCTGTCAGTCAGTAGGTGATGAAGTGGGATGTGAGCTCGGGGCCTTCTTCCACGCATCCCATGAGTACTGGCCATGCAGTCATCGGTATGGTCTCTGTCCCTCAGCGTTGATATTTGTTCCCCTGCACAGAACCAAGTGCTGTCACTCAGAGGGCGTTATAAAAGGGACCCTCCTGGGAGCGGGCAGCAAATGTTAACAAGGCTCTTTGCACGGATCACAGCGTTTCGGCACCTCCTGATGAAGGTCTATGGGGGCAAATACACTCACAACAAGGACATTTGCTGCAATGTCCCAAGTGAGCACTAACTGGGGCTTTCATGTGTGTCACATCCTATTACATGACACTCATCTCCGTATGGGCACTGAGACAGAGATAGATAGATAGATAGATAGATAGATAGATAGATAGATAGATAGATAGATAGATAGATAGATAGATAGATAGATAGATAGATAGATAGATAGATAGATAGATAGATAGATAGATAGATAGATAGATAGATAGATAGATAGATAGATAGATAGATAGATAGACAGACAGACAGACAGACAGACAGACAGATAGATAGATAGATAGATAGAAAGATAGATGATAGATATATAGATATAGTAATAGATAGATAGATAGATGATAGATATATAGATATAGTAATAGATAGATAGATAGATAGATAGATAGATAGATAGATAGAGGATAGATATATAGATATAGTAATAGATAGATAGATAGATAGATAGATAGATAGATAGATAGATAGAATGGAAGTGATGAAGAAACTCCAGAATAGTAGGCGATGTAACATTGTGTTAGAAGACACTCTGCATATAGACTACAATTGCTACATTTTACTCTATCTATCCATTGTAATACACATCAGAATAAGCGCAGCAAACGCTGCACATGTATAGAAAAGTGATACAATACAATATAACAATAAATATAAATACTACATAATAATTCATGATATCCTGCTGGACACAACAAACATACATTTACAATATACAGCAATGGCAGACTGATATCTATCTATCTATCTATCTATCTATCTATCTATCTATCTATCTATCTATCTATCTACCTATATCTTTTGCAAGAGGTAGAGAATTTGGAATCTCTGTCATCAGTATATTATACAAGACGATGAGTAAAGTATTAGTAAAATAATAATAAAAATAACAACAATACTAATAATTGTTATTATTATTATTATTGTTGTTGTTGTTATTTTATTATTATTATTATTATTATACAGGTTGGTGTTATATCTTT